ACAAATACAAATCTAGCTTTTTATTAAATCGGTATGGTCTCCAATATGTATGACAACTGATGATGGATCTCTAAACATATACTCTATTCATTTGCTTTTTCTTTGATCATGTATTTAAGTCCATAGCAAAATCTACATATATCTAGAAAAGCCAAAACGTCTTATAATTTGGAATGGAGGGAGTACTATCATATTTAGCTTTAAGAGTTTATGCCTCCGTAGTGCGGCCGACTAGTGGCTCGTCGATGTTAAAATTAACTCCACTTCTCAATCTTAATACAATGATGTGCAAACCTTTTGCGTATTCGAGAAAAAGAGTTTTTGCCTCCTGTTTGCAAATATTTGGCGCTTTGGACAAAATTTGAGACAAACTTTTAAAAATTGAATTGCAAATAACTTTAAGTTAGTTAAGAAACTTAAAGAGGTCATCTGCATGGATTTTGTCTTAACATGTACTCCCTCCGAACCGTCCTTAAATAGATGACACTTTTGACTTTTAGATATCATGTTTGACCATTTGTCTCATTTAGTTTTTTTTGCAAATAATAAAATAAACAAGTCATTGTTAAAGTACCTCTAATGATAAATAAGTCATAACAAAACAAATAATATTTATACAAAAATTTTGAATAAGACGAACGATCAAACAAGATGTCTAAAAGCAAAAAGCGTCATGTATTTTTGGGACGGAGGCAGTACTACTTTTCTAAAAAAACACTCTAATAGAAAACAATGATGAAAGCTACTCCCCTATTCCAAATTATAAAATAATTTTGACTTTTTAGAATACATTGCGTTTATTATATATCTAGATATAACGTATATCTAAGTGCATAGCAAAAGTGCTACATATGTAGAAAAGTCAGAACGTCTTATAATCTGGAATGGAGTATGTGTTTGGAGGAAACCATAACGAGAGGGAGTATATATAATAGAACATTTTCATAATAAAATATATTAGAAACAATTTACTTGATGAAGCTAAAAGTTTTTACCAATGGGAATAGGAATCTTAATTTTCCACATGCAGTTTGTAGAAATTGGCGAATCCCATGGGTGTTTGTAGAAATGGTTTATATGATCCTTATCATACAAAATATAATTTCTATGAGGAGTATATAGCTAGCTAATTAAAACAGTAGATTGCATTACTTTTGACAAAAAGTTTTAGGACCAAGGATGTGATGTGTGCTTCCACTTCCAATAATAATATGAGCCCCTTTTGGAATGGAATATATAAATAGGGCCCCAGGAGGTAATAAGCTGCCGCCTTGTGCTCCCTACAACTTATTTGTTGTGGCCGCCCGCAGTAAGTAGATTGCCGGCCGGCGCCCTCACTCATCTTCGTCTCCACCGCACACCGTACCGTACCGGTCGTCATCCATCTCGATCCGCAGCAAGCTACTACTACACTAGCTTTTTGAGACGACTGCATGCGTGCGAGCGAGCGAGTAAATAAATAAATCTCCAATCCAATCCAACAACCAGCAAGAAGCTCAGCGATCGATCGACGAGAGCCTGCTCGGGCCCGGCCGTCGTCTCTCTCATCTCGATCTCTGTTGTGTCTCAAACCACCGCCAGCAGCTTGGAGGTAGCTGCTGGGCCGTCGTCCATCGCTGACGCTCTATCTATCTGCGGCGGCGTATACAGTTAAGTTCCGGCCGGCCGGTACCTACAGGTTCGGAGCTGCATGCGCGCAGCTTGTAATTCATCAATCAATTCGTCGTCTTCATTCTCGTATATATATTTGGTGAGTGTCCCCAGTCCCCACCCCCACACAAATATATATGTATGTACTTTTATTCCCTGCCTGTTTGTTTGGTTTGGTCCATATGCATATAATTAATTAAGTTTCTTCAGTTCGCTTCCTGGCCATGCATGCATGTATATATATATATATATATATATATATATATATATATATATATATATATATATATATATATATATATATATATATATATATATATATATATACATGCATGCTATAGATCGAGTACGTATTGCTTGTTCGTCCGGCCCTCCACTGCAGCAGCAGGCCAAGGCTGTATACCTGCTAGCCACAGCACGTAAGTATAGTACGTACTGCGGGCGTTCCATAGGAATACCAGCAGGCCGCTAGGACGACGAACAGCTACCAGCCATCTTTCTGCTGCAGTACTAGTTGTAAGTTGAGTTGCAGCCTGGCCTGCCGCCATGGCGCCTACTCTGTCTGTCTGTATGATGGAACTATTTTACCAAATAATAATTAAACTTGTTGACTGCTTAACTAGAAACTGTTACTCACATGTTGTTACCCAGGCTAGCTAGCTGAATTAGTTTGTCCCTGCAACTTGAGACTGAATGCTCTAGCTAGTGCTAGCTATACACTGTACCCTGCTGTATATATGTACCGTACCCTGTTAGCTGGTCTTGGATTTTTTCCCTCTAATGTACCTGTTTGGGTACTTGTTGTCGTCACAGGTGCAACTAATCAATTCCGTATATATTAGTGATTGATTTTGATGATAGTAAGTCTCAACCTCTGTCGTCGTCTCTAGCTGCAGATACATGTAGTACTTCAGTTCGTTTTCAATACACACAAGCTATCTAGCTGGATTATTGTACCCTATATATTGCTAAACTGATATGACAACCACTGCATGCATCATCAGGCTCTCTCTCTCTCTCTCTCTCTCTCTCTCTGTACATACCTATAGTAGGATCGATCGAGTACGTACATACCCTGCTGTGCACACATGCGATGCGACCAGTAGTTAGCTGGTCGAGTCGTCGGTACGTAGTTAGGCTCTGTGTGAAGAATGATGGAAAAATACAGGCCGTTTGCCTTGCCTGCGGGCCATCTAGTAGTATAACAGATACAGATCGCGATAGAGTTAGTCAGAGAAGAAGAGAAGGTCACGTATGGCAGGGGGTACGGTGCCGGCTGGGTGCGTGTACGTGTGGTTTGTGGTAGAAGATGCATGTGAGAGGATCGGAGGAGGAGGAACAACCAACACCTACAGCTAGCTAATCCTGAAGTGCACTCAAAGAAACATGCATGCTATTGCTATTGCTATTGCTATTGCTGCGGGATACGGCCGGGCCGATCGATACCACTCCACTCCACCTCAAAAGAAAGCTTAGCTGGCTAGCTGCTTCCGGCCGGCCGCTTCATCCTCACCCTCACAGACAAGAGACGACTAAACTAAAGTAGACAGTAGCCCGCCCCGCAGCAGCAGCAGTATGCAGCTAGCTGGTCTTTTTCCACTCCATCCATGCATCTAGACCGATCCATCCCTGCCTTTTTTTCCCCTCTCCCCCCTGCCCGGCCCCTTTCTTTCTGTTCCAAGTATTCTACTAGCTACCTACCAGTTACTACTTTACAAAGGATCCATCCTGATAGCTAGAGGACATCTATCATATCCATCTCTGCAACCAAATCATGGATATCTATCAGCAGTACTGTACTTCAATTCTTCTGTCTCTCTCCTGACACTGATACTATACATGCTGCATTACTGCATCCATGTATTGTATTTGGTGTCGCCTAGCTTTCTACGACTCCACCAGATCGCAGAGGCTGCACTATATATAGACACCAGCTAGCAGATGAGCAGGTCGTGTAAAGGCTCAAGTAGCTGCTCTTCTGTTAGTTTTTTAGGTCTCATTGCACGAGTGAGTGTGTACTATCTGAAATTCTGAACTGACCATAACATACAGTAGAGGCTAAGGCTACCAAAGACTTGCATGCTAGAGAGGAACCAGAGCTTTGTTTGCTTTGTCTCTCATATCTGCGTGCAGGCGAACCTGCTGCTGCCTGCTTGGGAAGGCGGAAGGCCGGCCGGCTAGGGTACCGCCTTACCTGTCCATCTGTCTTTTCTTTTGCATTGGCTCAGACGCCACACGCATCTAGTATAGCGAAGCTAGCTACTTCATTCTTCCTCCCTGACTACTCCATGTATTCCATACTAACTCAATAAAAGGCACGCTGCAGGCTAATTTTTCAGAGGAGAGGAGAGGAGAGGAGAGGAGAGGAGAGCGAGGAACAGAGGCACGCGGAATTAATCAAGCAGCTGAAGAACATAATTAATTAGCTGCCCGCATGGATCAGCAGGAGTCCTGTGTTCCCCCAGGCTTCAGGTTCCACCCTACAGAGGAAGAGCTGGTGGGGTACTACCTTGCCAGGAAGGTGGCCTCCCAGAAGATCGACCTCGACATCATCCAGGAGGTCGATCTCTACAGGATAGAGCCATGGGATCTGCAAGGTATGTACATGCATGTTACGTTGTTGTTCAGCTCATATCTATCTATATATCGTCAGATCGTTTATGCTAGCTACGTATACAAATTATATTCTTCGTCATCATGTATCATCGATCCGCATGTATGTATATATGCAGAGAGGTGCAGGCAGCACGCCGGTGGTGGGCACGACGAACAGACGACAGAGTGGTACTTCTTCAGCTACAAGGACCGCAAGTACCCCAGCGGGACGAGGACGAACCGCGCCACGGCGGCCGGCTTCTGGAAGGCCACCGGCAGGGACAAGCCGGTGCTGTCGTCGTCCACCAGGACCAGGTGCGGCACCAGCAGGGTCATCGGCATGAGGAAGACGCTGGTGTTCTACAAGGGCAGGGCCCCCAACGGCAGGAAGAGCGACTGGATCATGCACGAGTACCGACTCCAGTCCAACGAGCACGCACCCGCGCAGGCAAGCAAGAGTTTAATTAATTAATTAACTCTCCTTTTTATTTATTAATCATGTTTTTTGTCTTTCCTATAAACAATATATATATATATAATTGTATCATCAAAGTTCAACTAACTGGAGCTCTCTTTCACTTTGCGTAATCCTCCTAAAGTTATTCCATCAGATATATAGCTAGTGTCAGTAGGTCCATCGACCAAAAAAGAAGAAGAAGAGCAACTTTTAAATTGGCACTTTTACATACAACAATGGACATCGATCTCTGACACTTGTTGTGCGTGCAATGGATCGTACATTGCTCATCTCATCGATGTATCAGGAGGAAGGCTGGGTGGTGTGCCGCGCATTCCAGAAGCCTATCCCCAACCAGAGGCCCTTCTTCCCCACCAGCTATGCCGCCACCGCCGGTTACTACGACCACCACCACTCAACGACCGCACGGCTGCACGTCGACGGTGGCGACCGCCATTTCCTGGGCTCATCATCAGCACTGCTATACCACCCTGCAGGGCTGCCTGCAGCTGCAGGCAGCAGCTTCCCGCCTTCATTATACTCGGACGAGTGTTTCGAGTCCAAGAAGCATCTGTTCAGTATCCCGCCGCTGGAGAGCCCCACTGCCATAGCCTGTTGTTCCGACGGTGGCGGCGGCGGCGGCTACAATGAACATGAGCTGATGATCCAGCAGGGAGGAGGAGGAGGAGAGCAAGCTGCAGCCGCTGCCGGCGCCATCGACTGGAACTTTCTGGACAGCCTGCTGTTCGCGACGTCGCAACTCCATGAGCCCTCGGGATCCTTGTTGCAGTGACCTCCATCGTCGATCGCTCCATCTTTCCTCCAATTGATCTGCTGCTGCAGCATGCATCCACGTGCACACTGTTGATCCAACGGAGAACATTATTCATTCATCGATCGGCATTATATTAGTTGCATATATATTATATATGCTAATAATTCAGATTCAGATGCGTGTTCATACATACATACTTCATTGTTCTGTGTAGTTACACACGTTACAGACTGTTTCACTTACTCGACTTACTGGGAGTGGGAGCTCATCATCATTAGCTAGCTTTGTAATAATTTGTTCTCACCAGTTTATACATATGTAACATATACAGCTATTATTACTTACTGATATGATATCTGCATATATATATGACGCTCTAATTTCAGATTGCTGAAGCCTTCAAGTTATTCTTTTTAAGAAAAAAGATAAATTAATTCCATTTGAATATTTGCATTGATTCATGCGGTAAAAGTTCGCAGCTTTAGATGGGGTATTTACCAACGGAAAAAAGTATCCAACGATACACTTAATATGAAAAAACACTATTCTAATCAAAGAAAGTATCAGGTGATACTCCAATCCCTGAAAGAAGTATCCAATGATACACTTATATGAAAAAAGCATGCAGAGATACTATTTTTCTGAAAATGGATACGCTATATCGGGTTTAATTGGTTGTGACCCGCTAACGGTCACTACTACACAAACTTTACTGGAGTCGGACGTTTTCGGTTTCCCGCGGCGGGCAAAGCCGTCCGCCGCGGCCTACAGGCCACGGTAAATCGTGGCTTAACCGCGGCGGGCGGCTTTGCCCGCCGTGGTTAACCGATTTACCGCGGCGGGCGGTGTAACGTGTCCGCTGCGGTAAATATACTTTTACTACGGCGGGCACGTTACACCGCCCGCCGCAGTAAATTATTTTACCGCGGCGGACACCTTTTGTGGCCCGCCGCGGTTATGTTCATTAGCCGTGACGGGCTTTATTATTTGCCCGCCTCGGTAAATTATTTCCTGAATTAAAAAAAATACAGCAGCCATATAAATTCAAATTCAAATCACATCTAGATTTCACAGATTAAACTTAAAAAGTATGCAAACATTACACATGAGATAATATACATATATATACATTCACTTAGTCGTTCTTGTCATCGTTAATTCATTACATTTACATATTAAAGTCGTTATACATGCACTAAGGTGTAATCCTGCGGACGCATCATCGTGGGCCATTTCCTCAGCCTCTCGTAGTCTGGTAAAATCGCTAGCGGGCTGTTCTCATTGAAGAACGTGCCCCCTTCAAGCACGCATTTGTCTAAGACAAACTTACATATGTCCGCCTTTGTCTGCTTGAAGCTGTGTTGGGTGTTCTGCACGTCTCTCGACCAGTTCAATCTATTCTTGAGCACCCTCCAACTGCTGTTGTACTGCTTGCACACCCTCATGAACTCACAGGCGTAGAAGCCACAGGTTTATGATCCTACCGGTTGTTTGGCACACTGCATGATCGATACACAAGCATTACAACACAGGCATTAGAACGCATATGAACGGAAAGCACAATTAAACCTTTCAAATACTTACCGAAAAGTTGCGTCTGATTTTGATGCGGTTCTTATGCTTAGCCTTAAAATTCTCTGTTCTTCGATCATAGCATTCAGGATCCTTCACGTACTCCTTGTAAGCGCTATACGAAATATACTAGTATTAGGCAGGGCATTAGAACGCATATGAGAAGACAGTTCAGTCACTTACACTCTGAGGCAATCTTCAAAGGCTTTGTACCCTTTTATGTTTGGCACTGTCAACGAATCAAATACGCAGGCCCTGCCATCCTGAGGGTAGATAATAAATGCAACCCAGTGACCCTCGAGGCCTTGGCTGCGCCATTGAAACAAATACAGGTTACGACAAGAAATAATAATTCTAGCTAGCTACCCACTTATCTCTACAGGCATGTCTTCGACTTACCCAAAGTGGTAGGCAGCTAGGATACACCCATTTCCCCTGATCTTCTTCATTGCTCCTAGTATGTACCTTGAAATGTTCAACTTCTCATTGTCCATCAGTTTCTTCCTGTGCGCCTCTCTCTGTCGCTTGGTCAAGTCTTTCATGGTTGAATGATTGTCATCTAGGTGGTAACCAATGATAATTCTTTGAGCAATATGCATTGGAGATAGAAAGATAATATCAAGTTTTAGTTCCTTGGATATATAGGCCATCAACCTGCAAGGACAAGCCATCGTGGCATATATAAGTAGTCTTGACCGATTCAAAGGCAGGTGATATGTGAAACTCGCAATTTATCACTTACATAGAGAACAAGGTGACTTAGGCGATGTCAAGGTCTTATTCCCGCAGTAGTCTGTACATGTCGTGGAAGTCCACGGGGAGTTCTACATCGTTGCCGGGCAAGTGGAAGTACTCCGCCACAATCTTGACTAGAAAACCATGCAGGCCAGCTTTTGCCGCTTCCATGTACCAGAGATGAAACCTCCTTGTCTCCCACCTTTCCTCGTCGATGAGTTGGGCCTTGGTTATCATGAACTTCCCATGCTCATAATGGCGCAAGGCGATCATCCGATTCGTGAAATAGATGGAAAGGTGATCTCGGCCTGGGATAGAAATGTTAGTACCATATTATGGCAAAGAAAAGTTATTAGCAAATTATGCTCGCCGCTACCATACCTTTCGAACTCAAGTGAGTATGTGAGCTGCCCTTGGTCGCCTTTAGTCTTCGCCGGCGGTGGAGGACAGTGGCTTGTGCTCGCAATGGCAGCAGGCGGTGTCTTTGCCCCCGGTTCCTCCGTGCCTCCTGGTCCTTTGCTCGTGCCCTTAGATGGACTGCCGGGAGGTGGAGGTGGACTTGTTGTTGGAGGAGGAGAACGAGGGTGAGGGCTTGTGCCTCCCGGTCCTTTGCTCGTGCCCTTAGACGGACTGCCGGGAGGTGGAGGTGGACTTGTTGGAGGAGGAGAACGAGGGTGAGGGCTTGTGCCTCCCGGTCCTTTACTCGTGCCCTTAGACGGACTGCCGGGAGGTGGAGGTGGACTTGTTGTTGGAGGAGGAGAACGAGGGTGAGGGCTTGTGCCTCGAGGTGAGTTCCTTCCCTTGTCATCCCCGCCATTGCCTTTGTCATCGCCGTCGCCATGATCCGGATCATCGGGGGGACAAGATCTGGCAATGGATGGTTGTGATGCTGGTGTCGCCGTCAGTGTAGAAGTCGGTGTCGAGATAATGATCTCTATGTCGTCCTTGTTCCACAGGACTTCGGAACCCAAGGCAGCTCCAAGGATCGTTACCCCTTCTGTAGTTGGATATTCCATTTTAAATTCTTCGTATTCGGTCGCATACCATGTAAGTATCACGGCAGCATAGTTGGCAGGGATCTGGTCTTGGTTGAAATCTTTGATATCTTCTTTGGGGTGCATGTAACCCTCACCCACGGTCAACTTTTTTGCCCTGCCGAATGGGATCGTGAGGTGGACGCGCATGGGTTCCCGGATGTCGTCGATGGGGTGCCTTGGGTGATCCTCGATCATCGGCAGTGGCTGCCCTTGTGGAACTTGAGACACGGCCATGCTAGCCTGGCAAAGCATCTATGACCTCATCGACACCATATCTGGGTCATTGCTCGTGAAGGCTTCTTTTATGGACCGACTGATCATTTTGGCCATGCCTTGATCATAGCCCTTCTGAAAGATGCCCTCCTTGTACCTCTGCCTTGACTGGTATGTGGCAGCGTCGGATTGCCATGACTCCACTGAGTTCCAACTCATCTTCGACGACATGCCACGGACGCGGCCACGGTGCTCGAGGGTTCCCAGCGCCAGGGTCAGCAAGTCCTGGCCCCTGCGAACCTCGACGCTGTCCTTGGATTTAGCGGCCTCGTTGAGAGCCCTCGCCACCTCCTCGAACTTGGGCTCATTGAACTTGCTCGCGCCCTCCTTGAGCTTCTTTGGCTTGCGGGCATAGATGAAGTCCTTAGCCCTCAAGTCTACACCGTCGTACGGATCGGGAAGCCCGGCGGTAGCTCTAGCCCTTTCTTCCTCCCGCCACTGGGGCCTCTTACCATCCAACCCAGTCATGCCCAAGTGGTGGGGGTGCAGGTTCTTCTTCACGAGTGCCCTGAACTTGGCGCTCTTTGCCTTTGCTTCTTCTGTTGTTCTTTGTTTGCAAAACTCTTCCCAGTGATGTTCCTTCACCATAGTGTATTTGACACAGGGTGACTTGCCTAGCTTTAGGTAGTACTTGGTTAGCATGGACTTGAAGTTTCTAAAGGCTCTTCCTGCCACGTGCATGACCCACTCCCTGCACTTGTTCAGATCGGCGTCCTCGGGATAATGGAAGCTCCTCGTCACCTCACCCCAGATATGTGTCTTGTAGTCGACCGGGACATTGTTCCACTCCTCCCAAGTGATCTCCACCTTGTCCTTGACTATACATGCCACCTGGTTGCTGAACTTGGCAAGGACCGTGGGTGGCGACAACGGGTTTCCCTCTAGTCCCACCTCATGGATCACATGGACTTCGCCGTGGGTTTCCCTCTGGTGCCTCCCGTGTTCCCCCCTTCTCAGCTTTGTCCTCTGACCCCTAGACTTGCCTGAAGTGGTTGGAGATGGAGCGGGGGTTCTTTGTCCCTGACTTGTTCCTCCTCAAAATTCAATTCTCGAGGCACCACCGGCATCTGTTCAGGGTTTGGAGACCACGCACTTTCAACTTCATCGTCCCTCGGTTGGTAGGTCGGATCATCTTCGTCCTCTGTACGATGTTTCTTTGTTGGCCTCGGGGTCACGGACACTTGGCTCTCGAGGCTAGTTGATGATGATGCACTAGGGGTAGGGTCGCGCCATTCGCTTATCGGTTCCTCCGCCATTGAAAAGCTACAATGAATACATATTTCAGTTGTATAGACACAGTTATAGAGTAGTAAAGTAGAGTAGTACTAGAGTAGTAAAGTAGAGTAGTACTAGAGTAGTAAAGTAGTAGTAGTTGGCTCAGATTTGCCCTATTGTCATCAC